GCCAAATGCTCCAAGCATTTTGTGGCAAGAAATGGAGCTGAAGTTGTGCCATATGTCACAGTTTTCAGCCGGTAATATTTTATTTCATCAGACGGATTGTAGCGCCAAACAATCATTTGATTGAATTGGTCTTTTGGATTCATCCAAACTTGCCGATACATTTTTTCTATATCAGCCGTAAAAACAATTTGTGAATTCTGAATCTCAATAGAATAGAAAACAGATCACTTTGAACAACTGGTCCTGGATAAAGCACATCATTCAATGATTTTCCTGTAGATGTTTTACAGGAAGCATCAAATACTACTCTTAATTTTGTAGTAGTACTTTCCGGCTTAAGAACACAGTGGTGAGGAATAAAGTAATGTTCCTCTGGTATTTGATTAGGCAATACTTATTTCATATGACCCAATTTTTCGTATTCGGCCATTAATTCGTTATACAAAATTTTAACATCTGGGCTGGTTCTTCGTTCCAACGAAAGGAAACGCCTTGTCGCAATATCGCAAGACTTCCCCAGGGCTGAGGGATCTTCAGAATAAGGTAATCTGACTATTAACCTTCCGTCTTGTGCATGTTGAAGATTTTCCAAAAAATGTTTCTCGCATTGTCTTTCCTCTGGTGTCCTGTATTTCCTTATTGGTTCCATGTTGTCCAATTTCCAGATTTTTTCCAACGACGATTTTGCTTTCTCGGCTGAGGAAACGACCATGCAATTCTGTGGCATTTTTGAGCACATGTTGATTTTTCCAGCAATGACCCAACCAAATTCGGTGTTCTGGAGAATCGGATGGCCTGGATACGACTTGATTTGCTCTGGCCTTATGATAGAGAAGTTATGTTCCGCGTCAAGCAGTAAATCAAGCAAGCGGAATATTGTTTGAGATTTTTAAATCACTTATTTTTACTTGTTCAGTGGGCTGATCTGCCACAATATGAGGAAGAACAAACGCTTCGACTCTTGCTTAAAAATCATTTAATTAACACTAGCACGTCCTTTACTTATTCGCGGTTGGCCTCCAACTCCCTCAATGCGAAGGTTTGTTGAATGTAGTTGCAACGATAACCGCTTAACGAGTCTTTCAGATATTAAATTTATTTGTGATCCGGAATCGAGAAGTGCGCGAAAATCTCCTTCTTGATTGTTTACTCCTTGCACTATGACTCTAGCCGTTGCTAACAGTGTGTATTTTTTCTCTCAACTGTTTTTAGTAGCAGCAGACGCTGCTGTTTTTGGTTCGGTATTGGAATTTCCGTTACCTAAATATAGCAATGTGTTGTGTTTTTTGTTGCATTTTATTCATGTATATTTAAACATGCATTGTTTGGACATGTGGTCTGCCTTTAAGCAATTAACGCACAATTTCTTTCGCTGGAACCAGGCCAGCCTTTCAGCAGGAGAAATTTCCTTAAATCTATCGCGTTTGTAAATGAATTCGCTGTCGCTGAAGCACTTGTTTTGTGTTTTTCCTTATGCATTTTGCCGCCAATGGCTTCAAGTGCGAGAAAACGTTGTTCCAGAAACGCAAGGAACTCTTTTATTGATTGAATTTCCCTGGTATCTAAAATTGTTTGCTCATACAGTATGTGCGTGAGTCGGTCTAGTTTTCTTGTCATATGAAACAGAAGGACTGGATCCCAGGTTTCTGTTCTGATTCCAATATTTTTTAAGGCTTGCAATGATTCATTGATGTTGTCATGCAAATTTTTTATTGATTGAGAATCATTTGTCACATTAGGGTGATCAAATAATTTTTCAAATTTCGCAGTAGAAAGGACTCGCTTATTATTGAAACGTTCTTTAAGCATGGTCCAGGCGGTGTCATAATTAACTTCTGTTAATTCTAAATGCCTAACTAACCTTTCTGCTTCTCCAGAGAGATAAGCTTTAAGATAAACATTTTTTGTATCTTTGGTTCTTCAGGTTCGATGCACAATTTGTGAATTTCAAAATGAAGACTTTCAATTTGTTTCCATAAACTATCAATTAATGATTTATAGGTAAATTTGTTTTCTGGAGCTATATGTTCTTGACATAGATTCCAGAACCGCCGCTTGGTGTCTTATAAATTTTTGTATTTGTTCCACAACTTCTGACAATGTTTCAGTTTCCATCGATTGAAGAATTTTAGTATTGAATTCTTCGATAGCTTGATACACAATCGTTTTCCTTTGGCTGTAGTATTGCTTTTCAAAATGGAGTATTGGAGTATTATTTAACATTTCCAGGTTAATATTATTTCCCCTTGTCGAACTTTTTCCAATACTCCTCAATTTGGCGTTTTCTGTCTTCAAATTAAGACGCCTTTTCCTTTCTTTTGCTGGAATCCTTTTTGATGTTTCTCAGCAAAATTTGGATTTCTTCGCCAATTTTGCTTTGAATAGCAATCAAATTTTCAACCTCCATTTTGCCTTACATAGTGCCTGACCCGTTGGAAGATAATTTATTTGCTTAATATAAGCTGGATACGCTTCTACTCGCAACCGATTTTATGGTCAAAGACAAGTAAGGTTTTAAGGATTAGAAAAAGAGCCAATTCAATAATTTCAAATCTTTTTATTTAAAATTTTTATTTAATTTGTTTGTTAATTGTTATGATACAATCGCTTCCCAAAATGTGCAAGAGTCGCCGTGTTGACTACTTGAAATTGTTGTATTCCAGTTGAAGAGCCGCCTTGTTGACTACTTCAATTTCGGAAATTAATCGGCGGTTATCCTGAAAGTCGGCAAGTTGACTTCAGTAAATCGGATTAAATTTTTGATGTAAGTTGGAAGAGTCGCCGGGTTGACTTCTTCTACTTTTAAATATTTATGTTATTGGAGTCGCCAAGTTGACTTCCAATATTGTAGTAAAAGATCGCCAAGTTGATCATTTACTCCTTGAAAAAAAATTTCAAGTTGTTCGGGAATATGCTGAATATCCTATCCTGAATATATACCTGGTTTATTAAGAAAGATTTTCACAACTTTAAATCTAGATGATTCGATCGCCAAGTTGATCGGGAATCTGTCTTGAAAAATATGTGCAGAAATTAGTCGCCAAGTTGACTAGAATTTCATGCAACGGTCGGGGTCACCCAAATGTTTGTAGGTTTATTGATTTTTTATTATTTATATATGTGGTTGCCCCTAGAACATAATCTAGTGACAGTAGGACGCTAAACCAACACTTGAATTGGTTTAACTTGGAGAAAATAATGCATATGAGGGCCAAAGACACAGCGATGCTCACTCGTAGATTGCAGAGTAATTGAATACACAAGGATTACTTGAGTACTGATTTTATTAGGGTTGAGGTCGGGTTTATATACACGATTTCAGAGTCAAGGGGGCCACCAGAAGTGGAATGGGGTTGTTAGCTAAAAATACATTGCAATGCTTAGGTTTTAGGATATACAAAGTCAACATATTTGTCTCCCACACAGGGAATTTATAGGATAGAGTTAGTAAAAATAGATTCCGGGTTTTGAAGGTAAAGCAGGCAGAGCTAGCGCTGCCTGTATGCGTCGACTGTATGCGTCGACTTATTACTGTAAAGCTGCAAACCATTGTCGCTTCAATGCGACCAATAGCCAGCGTTGCGGAGGAACGTGATCCTCGTGGATTATGACCATGTCGTTCGGGCCTGTAGCTCTGTAGATACTCTCTCCGTTGACCACCGGCACCGCCATATTGGATCCGCCATTTTGAATTTTAAAAATCTGCCTTCAGATTCGTAATCAGCGACTCTAAAAAACCCCGAGTTATGAATTTCAAGTGAATTCATTAACTTTTAAAAAATTGATCCGCCATATTGGATCCGCCATTTTGAATTTTAAAAATCTGACTTCAGATTCGTAATCAGCAACCTCAAAACTATAAGAATCAGTCATTATCCATCGAGATATACTGTTTTTCATAAAGTATTTAAAATATTTGTTTGCTAAGTCCACAAATACTTGTGCATTTAGAGTCACAGTAAGAACGCCATTTTGAATTTCAAAACGACACTTTTCATTAGAAAGGGTATGAATTGACGAAAATCTTAAGCTATAATAAGTCCATTTTCGTTCAATAGAATTTTGGGCAGAGCTCTGGGCCGGTTGAAGTGAAACGTCCCATATATGATATATATATATAAACATATACTCTTTGAGCACCCTCAGCTGCCCAAAAACTGACAGTTGGTAACAACGAATAGAACGAACTGGCTAAAATGCAAAAAGTAGATCAGTTCACACATCAGCCTAGATCCAATCATCAACAGCACTAAGGACATAGATAACATACTTAAAAAACTGGAAACTCTGCTTTTATCTTCTGAAAGTAACGCAACATTAAAAAGTTTAATATCAGGTACCAGAAATAACATCAACTGTTATGCTGATCAATTAGTCAGGGAAGAGAGCCGTCTCCGCCGAGACTGGCAAGCCAGCAGGTCACCATCTGGTGCCAGTAGGTGCCAAACGGAAGCTTTCTAGAAAACTGAGGCAAGAAGAAAAGCAGGCCCAAGAAACTTTTATTCAAATTTATTTTTTTTATTTATTCTGGAAAGCTCATCCTAATATAAGCCCACCGATTCTAGCAGAAACACCGTTGCGAAACCATGATGGCTCTTGGGCTAACAGCGATGTAGAAAAATATATAGTTTTTGCAAAATACCTTTAATACGCTTTTAAGAAAAATAGAGCTGCAGAGCTGCAGGCGTGTTCACAATACCTGCCAAGGCGAGCACACCACATATGTCTCATTCCAGAATACTGTGATCTCCAAGGTCGTCAAGGAGCATCTAAAGCCAAATAAATCTCACGTGCTCGACAAAATCACACCCAAAATTTATTCCGGATCATCAATTTTGACCTAAAAAAAGCATGGTAGAATCAAGTGGTTATAAAAGTGAACGAGCAAAAATGCAAACACATTACCTTCATCCTTAATATAAAAAATTGTCCACAATTATAAATCAATAACGTACTGATACCATCTACAAATGAAGACACATATCTTCGATTACACCTAGATGGGCATCTCACTTGGAGGAAGCACATAGAAGCGAAGCGCGAACATAAGTCCCGACAACTACATTGGCTAATAAACTACCGCTCTCCACTAAGGTAAGAGTACAAAGGTTTACTCTACAAAACTGTAGCTAACGAGGCCACTCATCAACCAAATGCCCTTATTAATGAGCATCAACTAAATTTAAAGATTTAAGATCTTAAAGCTTGTTTTTAGTCCCCTAAAGGTGAAGGTTCAACAAATAAACAAACAAACGCTGATGTTGTCGCATCCAAAGCATGACTAACTGAGAGTCCGTCAATAGAAACGTCTTGGGGGTGTTTGTGCGAAAGCAGACATGATCTGCATGCAGAGTGGAGCCAAGAGATGAGCTCCACAAAGTTCGGGTTGCGGCAGAGTCCTTTTCTTGGTTGGGGACACTCTCGATTTCGTGGTGACCGGCTTGGTTATTGTACGGCCGTAGTTCATGCGTAGATGCAGCATGGTGCAGCCATGGAATCCAAATGCTGTAATGAGTGAAGCCACGCTTGTTGAAGAGGCATTGGGACCGACTCGTCCCTCTGAAATTTCAGGAGCCAAATTCCTTGTAGCAGGATTTTTGTCACCATGATGGTTCCTGAAAGAAGTCCCAGCGGATCAAATAGTATGGCGCCACTGAAAGAATAGCCCGCTTTGTGATTCTTTCCGTGTGACGCTCATGTTCATCCATGAACATCATCCATCCATGAACAGTGTCTCGCCTTTAGCTTGCTTTGGTGTGAGTGTCGGTGCTGGTAAGCACACTTCTTTAATGCGCCATAAACGTTCTATGTTGAGGTTATTAAGTCCTCTAAAGATGAAAAACTTTTGGAACTGGTGCCTTGGCCTTGGTTTACTGTGCGTGACTGCTAAAAAGTTTTTTTTTCATCAGCGAGTGGCGCATTTTTAGCGGGGTCCATGATGAGACATCGATTTGGTCTGCCGCTTGCTTGAAAGTCGTGGTGAAGTTTTTGTATTCCGAGTACTCGCCGGAAACAATCGGAAAAGAGCCTGGGTAGCTTGATAGACGAAGTGGGAACAGGCCTCATCAACATGTCCGGCGTAAGAACCGTAGAGTTGTGCACAAGCTGGCGATGACCAAATCTTCCAGCTCGGAGCGGTAGCTGAGCTGTTCGTCTCCTGCGTCAATGGCCTCGATGTCGATTTGGACAGCCATAATTTGTTTAAAACTGGCCTTCATAATAGTAAGCCGGCATGTAAGTTTTGCCGGCGCCAGCGCAATTTGCGGCTTCTCAGACTGTTCGGTCTTGGCAACCGCTGTTCCGATCCGCGACATACTCCTCCGGATATTACAAAGCTTTTGTTTCATCGCTTTTTGCGTGGGGGGCTCAATTTTTAGAGTAAAATTTAGAATACAAATCTTGATATAATGTGCGAAAGGTTTTAACAACTTGAACTTTCAATGCGTGGTTTTCAAGAGTTAGCCGTCAATTTGTGGAAAACAGAGTGTGGCAGCGTAGCTTAAAGCTACTGGTTCACCGATGAACCAGTTCCGAAATGAGAAATGACGTGATAAATCGTATAAATATTGGCAGCTTGGTTGCGTTTATGCGTATATTGTGCCCTGTGAATGTGATTTCAAAGGCACTGCAGTGACGGCGAGACAAGATGAAAAGAGGCTCAGCGATTGGCGTGAGCGCTCTAGGCGAAGTCTGCAAACTGCAATGATGGCGTAGTCTTACCGTTGTGGCGTTGCGTAGTTCAGCAAAACGGTTATCAGATTTGAATTTTTCTGCCGATGATGGGCCGATGGGTCGGCTCACTTTCCAAAATGGCAGGGTATATTTGGAGTAGTTAAGTTAATGAAGCGTATAACAACCGTCTTCACGCGGTACCAAAAGTGAAGTTCTTTATTCTTACGTATTCAAAAGCCTTCGTGGCCAGAGTGGTGAAAATACACGGGTATAAGTACAAGAGATTTACCACCAACTGGTGGTTCAAGTAAACAGTAATGATATTCAAGTTCAAGTGTTACATGTAAATTCTAAATTTATATTAGTGCTAAATTGACCCCACAATGGGCTTTATGATATAGTCGGTCGATTTAAATGAAATTAAAACCGTTATGCGAAAATATCAAGAATTCAAATCAGAGAAGTAAAAAATATAATCAGCAAAATTATAATTTTTTTTAATCTGTTTTTCCAATTGCTCGAATGGGATCCAAATGATGTAGTCTTCCGATCCGTCTTTGTTCGACCTACTACATGTAATAAAAAGACAGAATTTGGGCCGGATTTCCCATCCTCTTGGAAACTTTAAAGTTATTTTTTTATCTACAAAGTTATTATTTATAACTATATTCGGTGCCAATTTAGCAGTGTTTCTATCATTTTAAGTAACGGCTTAAGAGGAAAAGAGAAACAGTTTGAGGTCATACTAAATCATAAATATCTTTGTCTATAGCATTGTATAAAAACACGGTAAAACAACAAATGTGATGTTAGGGTTCAAGGATGCACTCTGAGAACTACAACTATTTGAAATAGGCTTTTGAACCGCCAGTGTATTTAAGAACACAATTAAAAAAAAAACACTTGAACACATGTGACGACGTTTTTTATTACAAGATGTACACTGAAAGAAAGTTAAAAGCATATTTTGTACAAAAAATGATTGTGCACCATATACTAAATCAGAAAAAAGGTTTAAAAAAAGACCCAGTGTAGGGTCAAGTAATGGACAAAAAAAATTTGTTGCACTGGCGTTGAAAAAGAAAAGTCAACTCCGCAGCAAAAAGAAGAAAAGACACATTGCAGAGTGTCCAAAGGCCAAATTTAAAAAAAAATGATCTGAAAATATTTACACTAAATTAACACCATTTTAAATGTTCAATCTTCTAGTTTAAAACCGGAGGAACACAATTCAAATTTAATTGTGGTGCCCCCCTATTCCTCCTTAGGTTAATTTTATATTGTCTTTATTAGAGCCTTAAAGTGATACATGTACTAAGTAAATCAGTGGAAATTTGCGGATGTATTTGTAAACGTTAATGAACTAATATGCCTTCTTATTTTTTCAAGTTCAAATTTGAGGGGCTTCGCACCTGTTTCGTGTTTTTATGTTGTGTTATTGTTTCTCTCTGTCGTGATTGGTGACAGTTTTTAATACACATTAATTTAATGTTATAAAAATCAATTCGAAATAGTTTTGCGTTGTTTGTTTTATTCTCAAAGGCGTTTCGTATCAATGTGTGTTTTCTCGACTGCATATTCTCAGTAGTGCACAAACAAGGGTAGCAACACAAAAAAATTACAGGAAGTGATCGTTGCTGTTTAAATTTACATTAAGAATAACGGCTAAATATCTGAATTGACCGATATTTCTAAATCGCTTTGCTACATATTTGAAAATATTGCTGCTTATTTTTGATCGCCAAAATCTTCAATTCTCCAATACAAATATTATTGACTAAATGTGACGGAGTCCATTGTATTAAATTCAACCGAAAATGCGTTTTAGCAAACAGCGGAAAGTGCTCGTCGTGGTCGGCGCAAAACAGCTCCCAATTAAGTAATTTTACTCATAATGTACACCGCCATATCTAGAAACCCATATTTGCTTATAAGAAATTTCGTGATTATCAAAACATCCTTCGATTTTTTTCCAAGCTACCGAAGAATAGAATAATATATCAAACAAAAACACCTCTTGACGAAGTAAAATTAACGTGACGATCCCACCTGTCTGATATCAGAAGTTTTTTTTGAAACAACACCTGGTTACAATAAAAGAGTACCTCAATACCATGATCACGAGTCATCCCTGTATGTCTTGGCTATTGAAAAAAACCAGGACACACAGTTTCGACAGTTATTCTTTGCTGAAAGCATACCTGACATCGCATAGGCATTGTAGCGTCATTTTCAGTCGGAACCCTCGATGAGGGTTCAGTATGACGATTTTTGCCAAACAAGTATTTGTATTTTCCTTTGAGAAGAATTTTTTAAACCTGACTAACTACTAACTAACTACTGCTAAAATTTACTTCCCTTATAGAAAAGTATGTACAGATATTTTAGCTGTTACGAGGCCAAGAAGATTTAGTTATTATTGCATCATCGCCTTTAAAAAAGATTTCCTTTTTTCGTAAAAAGGATGTATAATGTTCCCTATTAAATCATAGACCTTGGTGAAATATTCACTTTGTGAAGTGCTTTTTAAATAAAAGTTATTAGTTTTGAATAGGAATGATCGACTAAACTAAGTGCAAAAGTAAGAGCACGGCTTGAGTATTCAATTAGTGTCTGACTTTGTAGATGATGTAAGCTATTTCAATATTTTTCCAAGCACCGTAGCTAAAATTTTCTAGTTCATTTGGTGTGGACTTTCTTTTTTCCGGAATATATAAGTTTGCAATGACATTTTCTGTTGTCTGACTGGGGGGTCTATGGCTGTAGTAAGAGCATATTAAATTTACCACATGTTTATGTAAAACAAATGGGGTTATTCCTCTTAAAGAAAGATATTCCAAAAGCTTTTGCCAAAAGTCTCCGCTATCTTGCTGTTCAGTTTTATTAAAAATTATAGACCGCAAATCAGAATTGTTAACTTTTGTTCCCAACTTTAAAGGGTTTGAGTATTTTAAAACGGTACTTTTAAAATTTTATTTTGACCATTCAGAACTGATTCATTAACGCACCCTATATTTATAAGACATTGAAGAGTTACCATATCATTCATTAGTATTTAGGTTTTTCAAACCACGAACGTAATTAACGATTGCTATATTTTTATTCCTGCGATTTGTAATAATTTGGCTAATATTGAAGGCTCATTGATAGCAGTTGTTTCACATCGTAGGTAAATATTTTTATCTGACACATTTTTGTTTTTCTTATTATTAGCACCAAGATGCTGTAGGTTTTTTTTATTTACTTCTTAACCGGTTATAGTCTATTATTACCCCATCAATTGTCTTAATATTTTTTGGCTTAAGGTTAAAAATGTGTGAGCCAGAAAGAGTTTTTAAGCGAGATAACGCAACATATGTTTGTCCATTAGCAAAAACACTATCACCAATATCAACAACTCCAGAGGTGATTGTTAGCCCTTGGATTTTATGAATGGTATGCAAAAGTTATTGTACATTTTTTTCGTACAATAAAGATATTTTGGTTTAGCTGAAATTTTGATTCAAAACGCTCAATTTTATACTCATTTTCTTCAAATTTAAGTTGTTCCCTTGTTGGAATTAAGCATATTGTATGTGGTGGCAGCTTTTGAATGTGTGTAATTAGTTCGGAAAGAAATGTTTCAATTGAATTCACATATAATTTAATTTCCCTTTTCGATAATAGCTGATAATCATTCCCATCTAAAATGATTAATCTTACGTGGGCTAGTGTGTTAGAAAACTGTTGATCTGATTGTTGTCTAATATTTTGAGTAAGTTCATCGTAAGAAAACAACTTAGCCCATAAGTTGGTCGGGTGCAGCCCAGAAATGTGTTTATGTAATCTTTCCTAAGACCATCTGGGTGTTCTAATGTATCATATATTTCGCATAGTTGCCAAATAATGTATTGTAATGTTACATTAGACACAATCGAAATATCATCAATTATTATTAGGCATACGTTTTTAAGGTTATCCCTCATTAACTTTTACTACGCCGCCATGCTTAACAGGTAAATTTAACAGCCGATGTATTTTTACTCCGGTTACATTGCGAGCAAGGATTCCTGTAGGTCCAGCCACAACGACTTGTTCTCCAAGATTTATTTTATATTTTCTTATAACGTTTATCAAAAAAGACATTCCTGTACCTCCGACGGCAGAAACAAATTTAGCTAACACGTTTTTAGGAGACAGTCGCGGATTTTGTACATTTTTTTTTCAGTTTCTGTTTTCCATGTATTGCATTAAACATTAAAGTATCTATAATTTTATTGAATAATCTTTTTGGTCAACGTAGAGCTGAAATACCTCTTCCGATATTAAAATATAATTTTCATTTAATGTTAGGTTATCCATTTCATTTTATTCATTTTCTAACAACACTTCAAATCCAGCAATATTTTCATACTCAACTTCCACTTGACTTAAGTTTTCATTTTCCAGTTCATTAGATACTTTTAACAAGTCACTTTCAAACTCTTCTCGTATTTTAAGCAACTCTTCTTGATTAACGTGATACCGCATGGCTTCCACCAACTCATCTTTTACTTTAAAATGTTAAAAAAATTAAATATTAATAATTTCCAACTCTTTTGGACGATTTGGGGTCCCTTTGGACCCGACTTGGGAAATAGATATCTGTGCCTTCGTCACTCATATTTTGTAGTAGATTCCTGCACTTAACTCTACGATTCCTTTTTTGGCGTATATCTACCATACCAATAATTGTGTTTTCATCAGCACCAAATAGAGGTATTTGTAGTAATCAGCAGCTTCAAGTGCTTCACATTCTCGATTTGTTAACTCCATATGTTACCTGCTACCGATTTGTTCTCATAAAAATCTCTAAAATCATCGATTGCAAATGATATTTCTGTTCCAAAATAGCACAAGTTCCATTGAAACGACCAGTATTCGATGCAGTTCATTATTTGTTCCTCGTTGTGTATGTTCCAGTCAAACAAGGTAGTTGAGATTGCTTTGGCTTGATCTTTTCCAGAAGAACTCTCAAGTTTTGGTACTGCAAGAAGCTGTTCTCTACCATCAAATGAAGCAATGATTGACAAGCGTTCTTTTTTTGAACTTGTTGCTAAGTATCCTCGCTGCTCATATCAACCGCTTCTACTACCGCCTGAAGAATGTATACGGAGTCTCTTATATTCAACTGGCATTGATCTAAAGCTGCGACAAGTTTAGGTGTGATGAGATTCTTTCTAACACTTTTTCACCAGTTCAGTATTTATAAATTCTTCGTCCGATTCTTCCGAATACTGTAAGTTTCTTGGTATAGAAGTAGATGCAAAAGCCAATAGCTCTCTGTGCTTTACATGCCTTTCCCCTTCTTTCAATAGACTCCATCAATTTTTTGTCTACACAAGCTAAATATCCTGGTCGTCCTGGTTCTCTTTGTTTATTGAAAAATAGTTTGTCTTCCTCTATTTTTATTATTTTCATGGCATCAGCATGTGCAATATCAAATAAGATATTACGGCTTATATTAAAATTCTTTTCTCGGTCCTTGAAAGTGGCTAGAGTTTTTTTTACAATTTACAATAGTATTAATCAATAAGTTTCTTCACGCAGTTAGGCAATGCCCTTGTGGGAATTCTTGTTTTTTCCCAAAATATTAAACACTCCCTAGTCACAAGATTTGCACTTTCACTGAGAGTTAGCTTGACTTGCCGAATATTATAAAATAAAACGGAGAGAACCTGGCGATTTGATGGTAACCTTGCACCAGTGATAGCCCGATAGGAAAAATATTTTCTTTATCACTTCGCAATGTCACTGACATTTACTCAAAAAAACAATAGTGCACCAATAACACCAAAACTTACGAATGAAATAACGAATGAAGCGTAGTCCATAGTCGCAGCGCTGTAACCGCGACAACATGTACGGACAAGCTTAAATTGCAAGTCGGCACGGGTTCTCTTGCATGCAACGGCTAATACTTTTTTCCCAAAAATATTGGACTATTATATATCGAACAAGAAAAATAAGGGAGACCCTATATATATGCATATACATACACATATTAATATTGTGAATATAAATATATAATTGTTGATCTGATTTATATATGTATATTGTATATTATTCATACAACATAAAACGCTTGTGGGAACCGGCACCAAGGAGCTAAGCCAGCGATGACGGTTGTAGGAGAGCGAGGCCCTCTCTCTTCCTAGACCTTCCTAGACAATCTAAGGTGATTTATTGAGTTGTTACATTGGCGACGAGGTGAAATCTATGGAAAACGAAGCTAAAATCGTTAAAGTAAACCATAAAACTAAGCAATGCAAAAAGACGTGTTTGTAAAAAGTGAACAAATTTATCTCGCAGGAACCCGTTAGTTTTTTTTTATCTCTCTTTTATTCATCTCGTTCGTCGTTGTCATTCGTTCGAGTGCGAGTAAACGGTATGTGCAGAAAAAAAAAATAATAATTAGAGAGGAAACTTTAAGAGTAATTGCATTTAAGGGTATGAGAAGTTGTGATCAGATAAAAGCAAAGAGCTTTAAAAAAAAAATTATAACAAGTTCTGACAAAGGTCAGAGGCAGAGTGCCGATGAAAATTTGAAATTTAAATAATAAATGAGACATTATCTGACAGTGGTCAAAGGCGGAATGCCGAATAAAAATAAAAAAAAAAACTAAATAGTAGCATGAGTCAAGAGGTTGACCAAGTTTGGAAGTAAAATTGCACGACAGAAGCATTGTTAATATAAAATAATAAAATAAAACAATTATATATATATATATAAATTTGTTTCAGGTGCAGCATTAATTCGTAATGGCTGAGAGCATCATAAAACCTTTTCTTTGCGAAAATCTGGAAAGTCCGTGCTCCGAAGGGAATGTATTTTCGATATTGGTCCAAAAACTAACAACATACTTTTCACCTAAACCAAATTCGACATTCAAGAGACACCTTTTCAGGAAAATATCTCCTGAAGAGGGCAAAGCTTTTGGGAAATTCATTTTACGACTTCGCCGGCAGATCCGAAAATGTAGTTTTGGTTCTACGAAAACTGAGATGGAAGAAATATGTTTGAAGGACAAAATTATTGATACGTGGGGTAGTCCGGAACTAAAGAAGAAACTTCTTGAGAAGGAACATACCTTAAGCGAAATCATTGAAGCATGCCAGGTCGACGAAGAAATTAATAAGCAATCACAGTCAAAGCTATCGAAGCCGTTTTCAGACAATTGGACATCGCGGCCAACCAGTCAAAATGATTGTGGAAGATGTGGGCGGTCAGGTCAGGAGAATAGTCCTACATGCCCAGCGCGGCAGACTAAATGTAATCGATGTTCCCGACTGGGCCATTTTGCCCGGAAATGCCGAACTGTTTTAAAACGTCTATACCCACCGTCGTATGAAGTATGTACGGTGGGTTAAAGACGGCAACCAAGAGGGAAAGGAAATTAATCGAGAAAACTGTTTTAAAATATACATTGACGAGGAATATGAAAAATGGATTAAATGTAGAATTGGTGGTGAAGACGTTGCCATGATAATCGATCCCGGATCCCGCTTAAATATTATTTCTCAGCACGATTGGTTAAATCTCCAGGCGAAAAAGGCGACTGTTTTCAATGTGCATACAGATGCACACAACCAATTCAAAAGATACGCTTCGGACACAATTTTTAATCGCATTTGTGTTTTTGAGGCACCAATACCGATCAAGTCAAGCTCGGAGTTGATTGCATCCTTTTTTGTAATTGAGAAAGGACGACAATCGCTACTTGGACGGGAAACAGCAACTAAATTGAATGTTCTGCGGATGAGCTTACCAGTAAATCACATTGAATTAGTAACACCGTTCCCTAAGTGGAAAACTGTTATGTTGAACCGGTGAAACAGCCCATGAGACGTATTCATGTCGCGTTGGAAGGTAAGGTCAATGCTAAGTTGGAGGAAGCGCACAAGCTTGATATTATTGAACCAGTAAATGGTCCCAGTCCTTGGATCTCACCGATAGTTGTTACTTTTAAAGAAAATGGGGACATTCGACTGCGTTTGGATATGATGCAGGCCAACCGAGCGATTCTTAGAGAAAATTACCCTTTGCCTACGTTTGAGTCTTTTATGACTAAGTTGAGAAACGCTAAATTATTTATTATGAATCTCAAAGACACGTACCATCAATTGGAGCTAGAGGAATTAAGTCGACAGATCACAACTTTCATTACACCCCAAGAGTTGTTCAGATATAAACGGCTGATTTTTGGCATAAATGCGGCTCCTGAAATATTTCAGCGACGACTTGAAGAACTCCTTGCATCGTGCAACAATGTGATGAATTATATCGACGACATTATTATTTTTGGAAGCAACGAAGAAGAGCATGATGAATCTGTTAAAAAGGTTTGTGATGTTTTCAAAGAAAATAAACAATGAAAAGTGCATTTGGAAGACGAACAGAATCAAGTTTCTGGGACATGTGTTGACTGATAAAGGAATTGAAGTAGATCCAGAGAAAATAACAGCTATTAATTCTTTCCGTGCTCCCAAGACTAAGGAAGAAATGCGTAGTTTCCTCGGATTGGTCACATACGTTGGTAAATTCATTCCCGACCTTGCTGACCTAACTGAACCGTTACGTGAGTTGTTAAAGACGGAACAGAAATTCAACTGGAGACAAATTGAAGAAAATGGATTCCAAAAGCTAAAGTCAGCATTATATAAGATCATGAGCCTCTCATGCTAGCCCTGTAGCTTTGGGCGCAGTATTGTTACAATTTAAAGATGATCTCAAAACAAATATTATCGCTTTTGCCAGTCGAAGCTTAACTGATGTGGTTAAATGTTACTCACAAACAGGAAAGCAAAGTTTGGCTTTAGTCTGGGCAGTAGAGAAATACTATTTTTATTTAATAGGACTCGAGTTTGAACTAGTGACTGATCATAAGCCACTAGAAGCGATTTTTAAGCCTACGTCAAAACCTCCGGAGCGTATCGCAAGATGACTTCTTCGTCTTCAAGCGCACAAGTTTAAAATCATCTATAAGTCCGGCAAGGAAAATATAGCTGACAGTTTATTCTGGTTGTGTGAGACCTTCCCCTTGTTACGACCACAAGGGCGAGCACAGCATACTGCGATATATCAAGAATACTGCACCAACATCAATAGCTATATCTGATATCGCCGAAAAAAGTGCTCAGGACGAGGAAATTATCGACGCAATGATGTGCCTTCAACAGGGTTCTTGGAACTCCGCACTTTCAAATAAACTGTACCCTTTCCGACATGAGTTGTCAACTATTGGTACAATTATGCTAAGAGGATTTCGTATAGTCATTCCGTCAACCCTAAAACGATCGGTGTTAATACTGGCACACAAAGGCCACCCTGGCGAATCGACAATGAAGCAGATTGTCAGGGATACCGAAAAATTTGTCAAGGACTGTCGAGATTGTATTTTAATATCCCAGACGTCACACCCACCTCCAATGAAGAGAACCGAGTTTCCGAACGGGCCGTGGCTTTCAGTTGCTACAGACCTACTAGGGCCACTTCCGAATAACGAATACATCTTAGTGTTAATAGATTATTACTCGAGATGTATGGAGTTTAAGTTTTTGCGCTTAATCACATCTGAATCGTTAATTGAAGCGTGTAAGGAAATTTTTAGCAGGTTAGGATACCCAAGGCAGTTGCGGACTGATAATGGTCGTCAGTATGTTAGTGGTGAGTTTCGAGTTGAGTTGAGTTTTGAGTTTCGCTTATGAGAAATGTTAGTCATCTTAAAAAGATTCCCATAGAGACGGAATCACCTGATGATACCAACATGGAGCCCCTTCAAAATCCTGGCTTAGGTCAAGTTTAGGATTCATTAACCCAATCCAAGCAGCAAGACCCTGAGGAGAAGGACCAACATAACCAGGATGGATTGAAACTGAAGCTGGTGAGGAAGGAAGGGATGTGGGAACCGGCACCAAGGAACTAAGCCAGCGATGACTGTTGTAGGAGAACGAGGCTATCTCCCTTCCTAGACCTTGGATCACTGTTCTCAACATAATTAGTTTAGTTTGATTTTGGCACTCGCCGCGGAAGGAGAGTGAAAATAAAGAACATTTATAAAAGACAATCTAACGTGATTTATTGAGTTGTTACAACGCTGAAAAGAAAATATATAAGATACGGTATTTAATAGGAAAATTACTTGCTTTGAACATCAGCGCGTACATATACTGTGGCTCACAGCTTGTTTCAACATAATATTATCCAAAAATTTAACAGCCAATAAAAACGGAACCAAACAGGCAAACAAAAAATTGAAACGCAGAATAATTCTTTAATATTTATAATTATTTTTTGTTGTACAAGAAATTTTCAAAAATTGTACAAATATTTTTTTCTTAATAAAGTTTAATTTTCACAAAAAAAAGGAAACAGAATTTTCTTCCAATAACCAAATCTAACTCATTGATAGATTTTCAGACTTAGTCAGCTCTCATTTCGATCGGTTGTATTTAACTATGTCTCTTTGCACCGAATGCAATTCCGAGGTTACTGCTATGCAGCTACGAAGTTTCGAGGCGGTCCGTTGTTCGTCGGTCTGTCGCCGCACATTTCACACAGCCTGTGTTGATTTGCCCGAAGAGGCAATTAAATTACTAATTAATATGCCGAACCTTCTCTGGCAATGCGACGGTTGTGTTGTGAGTACCGATTCTCACTGTAAAATCGGAGAACTAATGGAAGAGATTCGGGAGCTAAGAAATCTATACATAGACTTAAATTCAAAGTTTATTAATGCTTTTCTCGTGCCAGCTATTGGCAATAATAATGTCAGTCAGCGCAAAAAGTTGGTGAAACCTGCAGCAACTTCTTTTACTTCCCATCAAGCGAACCATGCTTCATCTCATCATCCTAAGCAAGCTGTTCTGGTATCCACCGCTCCAGCAGCTGCCACCAAAAGGAATTACAAAAATAATCATTGTTTAGCATTTAGCATTGTTTAGCCCCTAGTTGTGATCAATTTGAAGTTCTACCAAGCAACAAATTTCTGCATATTGGCAAATTTGCAGTAAGCATCAGACCGGAGGCGTTGTGCGAATTTGTTGCTAATAAATTGTGCGTGAAAACTGACCGTATAATTTGCATACCTTTAATTTAAAAAGATGCAGATATATCAGCATTGAAGTTCATCAATTTTAAGCTGGCAGTGCTTGAGCAATTTTATCAATCTGTGTTTTGCGATGAATTTTGGCCAGAAGCAGTAAAAGCCAGCAGATTCATTCACAGGAATAGACCAATTATTAAGGAAACAATTTTGGAGTTGCACACTGATCATTCTTCTATTTCATCAGCACCCAATTCAGATCCAAAAAACCCCCAGGAATAGGCGCCACTGGCTTCATCACCTTTGCGAGTCATTTCTGGGATCCTCTTCCACATATACTGGGTTTGTGCTCGCAACAACAAAGGCTGGGCTTGCCTATTGCCTTTATTCTTTCAAATTTTAAATTCTTTGCGCTTTATTCACCGACAAATATCCAACAACACCAGCTGGAGCTCTCGTTGTTCGTTTTCTTCGACCCTCGCCAAACATCGGGTTCCATTCCTATTACTGATTGCGTGCTCTTCCGAGACGCGCTCTATTATTTCCACACGCTCACGACAGCTCCACAAAATTCTCGTCTTGAGCTTTCAAAGTCCGCTTTGAGCGAGGTTCTCCTAATATAGTAGCCATAGTTTTAATGTCAATGCTCTTTGTCCGCTCTCCGGAATAGAGCTTTCTGCAATGATGCTACAAATACAACCCTATCTGGAATTTTTACCGCCCGCTTCGTATAGCTGTTCTGGATTTGATGAGACTCTGAAAGTGCGTTTGGGAGTAGAGCCCTCTGCTAAACTCTCTGACCAGATGATGGATGAACAACAACATCGCCCACTTTTTTCGCTACATTCTCTTAAAGTTGCTCTCTTGGACATGGCCGCTTTCAGTTTAGAGCCATCGCTCTTAAATTCTGGCTTCTCTTCTTTCGAGAAATCTAATATATTTTGCGAAAGCCGCGCACTTAATTCTGAAGATAAGCAATGGATTAAAGTTAGGGCGATCAGCGGAATTAAAACATTAGGATCAGTAGGTGCTGATACTCCGCATGCACTGGAATGCATTAGCACGAACACGAAACAGCTGGTGGCGACAATCATTCCATTTTAAGCACTTCCCCACTTAAAATTAATTTCAAAGTTCTCTGGAATGCGAACAAAAGCGGAACAAGTAATTCTTGCTACATCCCAAGGCAACTTTCATGTCATAGTCCTAGTTGAAACCTGGCTTAACATGAACTTTTACTCTTACGAGTACTTTGATTTCAACTTGTATCAAGTCTATCGCAAGGACAGTTACGCGCTAGAGGGGGAGGCGTAATTGTGGCTGTTTGTCGTAGCTTGAGATGATTGGCTATCGGCCTTCTCAATGAAGATAGCCTTTTGGATCAAGTGGCTGTTTCTGTTATTGGACCAGTGGATACGCTACTAATTGTAGCGTCTTATATACCACTGAAGAGTACCTATTCTCTTTACAAGGCCCATCTGGAGAACGTGACCAATATCTATGATAATCTACTAGACCAACAGCATCTCTGCGTTATTAATGACTTTAACCTGTCATCCCTTGCTTGGGCGAGAAACCCTGACTCTCATTCCTTACTGCCAAGTAACTTACATCAGCCACTTGAGGTTCTTTTCATCGACGATCTATTCAGTATGGGCTTAATACAAGTTAATAATATATTCAATGAGTTATATAAGCTCTTAGATTTAGCATTTCTTAGTCCGGATATTAATTTTTCCTTAGCTGAATGTAATTTACCTATCAGCAACTGCGATGTTCATCATAGGCCATTTATAATTGTACGCCTTCAGCGAATAATTTTTCCTAGTTCATTTTCACTTAAAGCTGCCTTCGTTCTATCAGAAGCGATATTTCCTCAGTTATGGCAACAAGTTCTTTCGCATGTTAGAAATTATTTTAAACATAATTTAAAATAATGCACAAGAAAGGATGCAAAGTTCATTTACGCTGCCTTGGTATACCAAAGGCCTAAAGAAGCTGAAAAATCTTAGCAATATGTTTTATAAAAAATTTTTAGTACCGCGCGATCCGAGAGATTGGAATAGGCATTTGAAACACAAATGAGAATTTGTGTTTTTAAAAAAATTTCTTTACCATCAGTACAAAGCAGGCGTCGAGAGCAAGCTGAAACTTAACACCAAATCTTTTTGGAGGTTTGTCAAATTCAAAAAAAAAAAAAGTTTCTTCAGTTCCCTCTGCTATGTACCTTTGAAATTTAACTTCTCATTCTGATATAGAAACTTCAAATCTGTTTGCTTCTTTTTATACCCCTGCAGAGGGTTTTATAATTTCAGTCAGAAGTTTGCAACGCAGTGAGGGAGTCGTTTCCGACCCTATAAAGTATATATATTCTTGATCAGCATCACTAGGAGAGTCGATCTAGCCATGTCTGTCTGTCCGTTCGTTTCTACGAAAACTAGTCTCTCAGTTTTAAAGCTATCTGCATGAAACTTTCCCCAAAGTTGTCTTTCTATTACATGTAGTATATAAGTCGGAACGAGCCGGATCTCCTATGGGAGCTATCGTCCGATCCGGCTCGTTCCGACAGACGGACAGACAGACATGGCTAGATCGACTCGCCTAGCGATGCTGATCAAGAATATATATACTTTATAGGGTCGGAGATGTCTCCTTCACTGCGTTGCAAACTTCTGACTGAAATTATAATACCCTCTGCAAGGCTATAAAAATTATAACTTTGGTGTTTTTTAATTTTTTTGTTAGTTCTTCGAGATATAGTAATTGTTAAATATTTCAGAATTACGGTTTAAATTTCATTAAAATCGGACGACTATAGCATATAGCTCTTATAGGAACAATCATAAAAATAAATAAAAAAAAAATTATAACTTTGGTATTTTTTAATTTTTTTTTCTAGTTCTTCGAGTTATAGTAATGTTTAGATATTTCAGAATTACGGTTTAAATTTCATCAAAATCGGACGACTATAGCATATAGCTCCAATAGGAACAATTGTATAGCCGCCATAGGAACTATCGAATAATTAAGCTGCAAATCATTAAAGCTTCAATGTTTTTAAACATACACGCAAGTAAATCATAATTTTAACGTTTTCAAGAGTATTTAGTTTTTGAAATAACTGCAAGGGTATATGAACTTCGACTTGCCGAAGTTTGCTTGCTTTCTTGTTTTCTTTGCACCAAGCCTCCACTGACGCTATCCTATTAGCCGTTGTCCGACGCTTGATTCGTATTATTTCGTGGACCTCCCACGCCGTTTTGGATTTATTTTCAAGCCTCCGCTGTCGCTTGCCGATGTGTAAGCCGCGGTCCGACACTTGATTTCGGTATATTTGTGGACCTCCCACGCCGTTGTAGCTGCGCTGCAGTCACAAGCATCCGCTGTCGCAACAATTTTAGCCGCGGTCCTACACGTGCTCCTCGTTGAGTGGATTTCCCACGCCTTTTCAGCTCTATATTCAAGTGTCCGCAGTTGCCTCCTAAAAAGGTCGCACGCTGTCGCTTGATCCTGATCTTTCTCACGTTTACCGCCTTTTCGTCCCACGCAGCAGTCTTAGGTTGCAATCGTCGATGTATTTATTTTTGTTTTCCTAATCTTGCCGTAGTGCACCGTTAAGTGCGCATTTCGGACTTTTCTACCGTGGATACTTTTTCACGCACTGTGCTTCTCTCTCAAACTGACCCCGCCGCCTAAAGTACGTTCGATCTTTCGAATGCGACCGCGAAAATCGACCCTCACAGTAGTGGATCCAATTATAATTATTAAAATGGAACACGTGCATGATAAGGCTACACTGCTGTGCGCGATACCGAAAAGAAAACAAAACGTAACTGAGCCTAAAGCCCATCGGCCTGTACTCGCCAGCGTTTATATATATAAACGAACAGCTGACCAAACGAAATCTTCAAGCGGGCGATGCATCTCAAGAGGCAGACGCGCCTAGCAGCTGTTTTCTCTCGCCGTGGAGATATCTTCGTAAAGAAGAGAGAGGGAGGAGAGGCGATTTGCGTGCAAAGCCT